CTTTCCCAGGTGTCCCGAGGATCAAGTGGAGCAGGCGCCCTGCACGCCGCACAGCGACCGCCAGTGTGGTCCTCCCACCGGCACCTTCTCCGGCTCCTCTAGTAAGTTGGGGGGCTGCTGGAGGAGGGGAGATGGGCTGAGGGGCAGTGGGGTGAGCTGGTGCTGCAGAGACTGGGAGCAGCTCCCAAACCCCCTATTTTATCTGCTTTAGACACCTGGGTCGTGAGCATCGTGGTGGTGGCAGCTGTGGTTGTGCTTGTGCCCTTGGCCGTCTGGAAGTGCCGTCGACGCCGTTCTCAGGGTGAGCACCGGGTGTGAGGGACCCACGGAGTGCTCGCCCCAGCCCGGGGCTCTGCGTGGGTGTGGGCTGGGTGGGAAGAGGTACCTGCCTGGGGAAAGAGGGATCACAGAACTGTTTTCTGCTCTCGTGAGACCACCCTGCAGTGCTGTGCTCAGCTCTGGCGTCCCCAACATCAGAAGGACATGGAGCTGTTGGAGTGGGGCCAGAGGAGGCCACCAAGATGATGTGAGGGCTTCAGCACCTCTGATATGGAGACACGCTGAGAGAGTTGGGGTTGTTCAGCCTGGGGAAGAGAAGGCTCCCGGAAGACCTTCCAGCACCTTCCAGTGCCTACAAGAAAGCTGGAGAGGGGCTTTGGACAAGGGCATGGAGTGACAGGATATGGGGCGATGGTTTTAAAGTGAAAGAGGGGAGATTTCAATGAGATCTAAGGCAGAAATTCTTCCCTCTGAGGGTGACGAGGCACTGGAGCAGGTTGCCCAGAGAAGTTGTGGCTGCCTCATCCCTGTTCAAGGCCAGGTTGGATGAGGCTTTGAGCAACCTGGTGTTGTGGAGGGTGTCCCTGCCCATGGCAGGAGGGTTGGAACTGGATGCTCTTTGAGGTCCCTTTCAACCCAAACTGTTACCTAATTGTATGATTCACCCTCCAGGAGACCAGAGAGACCTGAGTGGGAAGTCCTGCAGCGTGGTGGTGAGTTGCTGTGATGGCAATGGGTGGGTGGGCAGCTCTGTTTGCAGGCCTGGGGTGAGGTCCCCCCTCTTTGCTCCCCACTTTGCCTGCAGCTCCTGGGAAGGCTGGAGGAGCAGGGGGATGAGTCTCACCCCCACAGTGATGTGGTAGAGCTGGGCCAAGCGGAGGAGGGGCTCTGGTGGTGCCCTGCTGCATGTGGGGCGCTTGCAGCCCCCTCCCCAGTGCCGTTATCGCTTCCCTGGCAGTGCTGGCACATCCAGAGTCCCTGGTGGGGACCCCAGGTTAAAGGGAGGGCTGTGCTCTCCTGAGACCCCTGCAAGCTCCAGATGGGTGAGCAAGCCGTGCCCTTGAGGCCATGGCAGGGCAGATGCCACCACTGTAGATGGCATCGCCGAGGGGCTGGCGGGAGCCCTGCCCTCCTGGGACCACCCAGCTCAGCTGGTTTGTGCTTTTTCCCTGCTGCAGGACTACCTGGTGCGGCAGCTGACGAGGTGCCAGCGGGGGGACATGGGGACGCAGGACAACAGGCACAACGAGCAGCTCTCCCGGGATAAGCTGCTCCCCAGGGCATCGGATCCGATGACTCCCAGCGCTCCAGGGCCGGAGGTGTGTGTCCCTCTGCTCTGCCGTGCTCGGCCGAGCTCCCATGTTTTCCTCTGCCTTCACTGACCCCATCAGCTCGTGGGGTGGGGCTTCCAGGGCTGGAGCACAGGTTCTGCACGGAGACGGCGAGGGGTCTCTTGTCCTTGTTCTGGGTTCAGGACTGCAAAATCTGCTCATTGCAGTTGGCTGCCAGAGTCCTCTGGAGATTTAATGGTGATGCTGAGCAGACAGGCAGCTCTTCTCTCCCTGGCCAGGACCTGTGAGGCAGCTCTCCTCTGCTCGTGGCTTGCTGTCATCCCAAAGCTGGGAAACGATGGGTGTCCTGGGGGGCTGATCTCCTGCCTCAGCAGCCCCTGGAGAGAGGGAGAGGGTCTCCAACCCCCTCCTTAATGGGGCTCGGGGACAGTGTTTGTGCTGGGGCTTGGTGGGTGCCACAGGTCTGCTTTTTTTCCAGGTGATGGTGCCAAGGACCTCGCATCCCGTTGTGAAACCCAGGAGGAACCTGGTTCCAGTGCCAGAAAGAGACCCCAGTGCCCGTAAGTGTTGGGACCCTGGGGGTGTGCTGGGGGGCAGGGATGGGGTGAGCCCACGGGATGACCTTTATGGGCAGAATCCTTTCTGACCCAGCTGTCTGTGCATTACCCTGTTCTCTGAGCTTTTCCTGTCCTCCTTCTAGTTTTGCGGCAGTCTTTTTACATCTTCGCCCAAGACGTGCCCTGCAAGGACTGGAAGAGATACGGTCGAGCCCTGGATCTGCTGGAGAATGACATCGCCCTCGCCGAGATGAACGACAAGTACACGCTGGAGCCCTTCTTCCAGATGCTCAACACGTGGCACAGCAGACAAGGGCTGAACGCCTCCGTGAACACGCTGCTGGACACCCTGCACCAGATCAATCTCGGAGGGATTGCGGAGAACATCTCCTCCAAGCTGGTCCAGCAGGGATATTTCCAATACGAAGTGAGCTGAGAAGCAGGGCAGGCCCTGCAGCTCCTTACTTCAAGCTGAAGCCGTGAATACCTCTAGAACCAGTTGAGTTTTGTCTTTTTATAACTCTCCTGTGGCTCTTTCTCTTCTTGAAGCCATTGTACTGCTCAGCTGAGCCCAGAGGAGTTCATCCTCTCGTGAAGTACGAACCTTGTGGTCCTCTCTGCCAAAGCTACGGGCTCGACGTCGGTGCTTCCTTAGGAAATCCAATGGTGGTGCCTCGATTTTGCTGGGTCAATGCAAAGAGCCTGGAACTATTGCAAAGCTGCCTGTGGGACTGTCTTGCTTGGAAGCACTGGTACTATATGGACATCTTCAGGATGCGGAGAAGGGCCTTTGCGGGATGTAGACATCCCTGTGTTTTTTAACTGGATCATCCTTGGGGTTTTTTTGGGGGAGGGGGTGTTTTCCTGGCATCATGCAATGGCTTCTGCTTGTAGAACATCTCTAAGCTGGTCAGCAAGCTTAATACTGTATGCTCGGTGGGCAAGCATTAACTGGGTTCTTGGGTTACTTTCTCAAAGCTCTTGATTGAATTACAATTTAGCTGATAGTGGTTCTGCTTGCTGTTAGAAATCAGTTGGAAACTGGACTGTGAGGGGGGAGCGGGGATGATTTACGTGCTTTGTGATCACTGGGCTTGCCTGAGAAAAGGGTCAGCACGGGGAGCGAGTGAGCCCCTCGGAGCGGGATGGGGAACGTGGGCAGCAAACCCAGCAGTGTGCTAGAAACTCCTTCTCCATGACCTTGGTCAAGTTGGTTCCCATTCCCTTGGCCGTGGGGTGGCTTTGCCATCCCTGTCTGTCTCCAGCCAGCGTGGAAAAACGAATGCACTGAGGTCTGAGCGTGACTGTGGGTACCCCCCATCCATCCTCCAGTTGGATGGGTTGTTCCTCAAACACTTTGCCCCTTGCTCTGGCTCTCACACGTAGCTCAGGGACAACTTAGCTGGAAAAAAAACAAACTACTGCATTACTTGAGCTGGCTACATGTGCTGCCACCCCGGTGCAGCCCACCGGGACCTTCCCCAGCACAGTGGGAGAGGGTGCTCCGGCATCCCCTCTGCAAGCCAGGGCTGCCCTGTGCTGCAAAGCCCCGTCCCCACGGAAAAAAATCCCATCTATAAAACACAAGCAGCAAGTTTGTATTTATGTATTTATTTAGTAATTGTAAACGTTTACATATATTAACTTAAAAGCTAATATAAAAATAGTGGTTTTTTTACTATGCATGATTGTGTGTTTTTATACAGAGCTCTGGCCCAGCCAGTTCGCTATTTCCAGTTTTTACATGTCTCTTTATGAAGGAAGAATAAACTTTTAAAAAATCCTCCTCATTTCTCTTTTTTTTTTTTCCTCCCCCTCCCTTGTTCTGCCAGAACCTAGATCTGTTCTGGGTTTCGGTGGGCACCAAAGGAGCTGGACCGGGTGCTCAGCAGCTGCTCCGCGTGGCGCTGAGGACCCAGCCCATGGTGTTGGTGCTCTGCCGTGCCAGCATCCTGCTGGGAACGGTCCTCACTGGTGATGCTTCTGCTGGGGAAAGCCCTCAGCAGCCACCCTGGGCTCTGCCTTTACATCTTGGCCACGAGTCCCAGGCTCTTCAGTCGCCTGCAAAAGTAGGAGGCTGAAATCTGAGTCCTTGAGCGTGGAGGGGCTGGGACCCCCCGTGCCGAAGCTGCTGCTGCCGGGGGGTTGTGGTGCTCCCCGCTGCGGCTGCACCGAGCCAGGGCTCTGCGTGTTGCAATAGCTGCGTTGCAAATCCATGCAGTGCTTTAGTGAGAAAAGGGCTCTGCTCATCCCAGAAAGCCCCCCTCCAGCTGCCCACCAGCCACTGCAATCGGGGTTTTATCGACGATGAAGGTGAATTTTTCCAGGTTTGGGGCAAGTGCTAAAAGCGGGAGCTCTCGGTGACCTGGCAGGAGGCTTCGTGCCTGAGGTCCTGTCCCTGGCAGCCCCCGTGTGCCACCCAAAGTCACAGGGAGCTCCCGCGGAGCCAGGCAGGTGCGGAATTCAGTGCTGGGACACGGGGACTCGGGGCCTGGCCCAGGGAAGGCAAACAGGACACGGAAGCAGCGGCGAGCGCCCGGATTTGAAAAGAAAGGAAACTCATCGTCCTACCTGCTCCTGCATCCGTGGCCGAGGATGAGCATGTGGAATGAGTGACTCCACGGTGCTCCACCGAGGCCAGCGGGAAGAGTTGCAACATGGAGGGGACACGGCCAGGAGCATCCCTGCTGGGAGTATCCCTGTCTGGAGCATCCCTGTGCGCTGGCACCAGCAGCAGCCCCTTTGCCAGGGATGGGCTCCAAGGAGCTTCCCCCTCCCCGCCTGGGGAGGGCGAGCAGAGGTTTGGGTCCCTCCTGCCCCCCCAGCCATGCCGCCTTCTCCTGCCAGGTACCCGCTGGGCACCTCCAAGGGCACAGGTGGGACACAAAGAGTCAGTCCGATGGTAAAGCCACCTCTCAGCATACAAGGGTTGGTTGTTCTTTTTTTTTGGATGGCCGGATCCTGCACCACTTCTGTCCCTGTCCGTCGCGGGAGCGCTGGCAGGGGGGGTGCGGGTGTCACCCCAAGCAGGGCACAAGGCTGCCCCCGGGCCCGCCGCTTC